AAAAAAAGGCTGTGGTAAGTGCTCACACATCCCGGCCCTCGCTGACTGTTGAATCTAGGTTGGGAGAAAGATCTGTGAGTGTGAACTACTGAGTCCAGTCTGGCACTCACAGGGAATGGCCCACTGTGAGCCATCAGCTGACCTCTTTCAGCCACTCCCTGGTTTGCCCTCATTCCCCTCCATGCACACAGCCTTCCTTACCTTTCCTCAAAACAAACTGAAGCGTGAGCCACACCAGGGAGGTCCCAGAGGCCTAGAATGTTTCCCCCAAATGTCCCAAAATACACCCCCACACACAACTGCCTCAGGAACTTGCTCCTCATCGTCCCCCTGCAACATCACTTCCCCCGTTCATGACCACTGTCATGGCACACACCTCCCCACAGCTGGTTTATTTTCCTTCACACCACTCATCACCACCTGACAGCAGAGGGCTGTTTGCTTTTGTCTAAGCTAGCTAGGCTGTTAGCTCCATGGGGACAAACTGATCTGCTCACTTAGCAGATCACCAGCACCAAGCACAGGAGCATAGAAGCAGTCAAAGCTCTTGTTGATGACTCTCTGGGTGGTGGTGGTAACAGGAGATAAAGGGACAAGCCTGTGCATGAGAATGCAGGAGTTGGATGCTCAGTTAGGAGACCATTTAAGCAGTGGGGGTGGGGAAGGACCCAGTGAGACAGAATATTGCCATAGTCATCCATTCTGCTATGGAACCTAAGACAGAAGTAACAGAGGAGGAAGGAGGAAGGGGGGACCAGAAACTATTGAGGAGATAGAACAGGAGAAGACTGGATGGAATGACTGGATAGTGTGGGGTGACAGTGAGGAGCAGGGGTGGAAGGACCCTCAGGGTTTCAGTTTTTAGCAGCTGGTCTTAGGACTATGGGATACACAGGGAAGGAGGTGGGCTGGGGCTGGGCTGCTGGGAACTCTCGAATGTGAGCCTCATGCACCACTCTGCAGTATTTATCTGTGTGAGATGTCTGGCTGAGGCAGATATAGCTTCCTCGATTTATCAAGGCAAACTGCACCCCTGCTCTCTAAGATTAAATCTGTGGTCTTAATTTTACTACTATGATGTAAGTCAGGGATTAAGATAGATGCTCTATTCTGGCTTCCTTCTGAGAAAAGAAAGTTGGATACGTTGCTCTGGAATCTTAACTCATAAAGGTAATTTTCAAACATAGCCAAATCTCAGCCATGGTATATAACACACACATTCAGTAAAAAATATTACATAACCATCATAAAACGCGGACATAAACACATGCCTCAAGAAGTGAATATTCAGTGGTATTACCTGTCTTCAATAGACATGTCATAATAAAATCATTTCAATGGGTGGACCATAGCACAAAGTGGCCCCCCCCATAGTAAAAGCTCCATGGCTTCCCCAGAATATGAGCACTGGAGTGCCAGTACACCTGCAGGGCATGAAACACAGAGGGCAGAGGAAATCAAAAATCATGTCATGGAAAATTATTGTCCATTAACATAAGCAGTGCATACACCTTAAAGGGATAAGCATCCAAGACACGATAACACTGGGGTGCCTGGGTGGCTCAGTTGATTCAACCTCAGCTCAAGTGTTCATGATCTTGTAGGTTAGTGAGTTTGAGTCCCTTGCTCAGACTCTGTGCTGATGGCTAGGAGCCTGGAGCCTGCTTCAGATTCTGTGTCTCCTCTCTCTCTGCCCCTCTGCTTTCAGTTCTCTCTCTCTCTCTCTCTCAAAAATAAATAAACATTACAAAAGAAAAAAGACATCAATTTGAAAAAAAGCACAATGCCCACTGAGAAGAGAACATTTTCTGGTCTTTGCAATTATGCCAGAGCCATATGTGGTTCTAGCGTGAAACTGCTGCTCAGGCTGCTCCTACACCATTTCATCCGCACATCTTAACTTGCAGAGAAGATGTGACGGCCTCAGCCATGGCTTGGGGCCACTGAGGGAAGCAGCAGCATGCAAAACCCAAGAATTCAGCCCCAGGTGGAGGGAAGCCAGGCGTGACAGACACTGTTCCTTTCTTTTTCTCCAGGGGCAGCAGCTAGCTGAGCAGAGACTGTGGATTTTCTGTCTCACAGCAGTCTCCACATGCTTTTTTGACAGAATGACTTTTTTTGAAAAGTATAACCTGGGAATGCCTGCTGGTTGCTGAACCCCCCCCTGGGCAGGAGACACATGAGTAAATTCACTTGGTCAAGGGCTGGTCATCATCTACAAGTTCAGAAAGTTTGGTTTTGAATTCCTAAGGAATCAAGGTTTATGGATAAACTAAAAACCATGAAGTCCACTAGATACATAGAGGTACCAGAAAAGCAAGACAATGGAGTCCCCTGGCAGCCCTTTCTTTCCTTATTAAATAAAAAAAAACCTTACAATTAGAAGCTGTTTGACAAATAAGTCAAAGCACAGAGTCCTCTGGGCAGGCTGATCAACCCATGTAATTAAAGCTTGAGGGATATGAATCACACAAACTGCCCAGAGCCTCCGTCCTTAACGAACCTTTGCTTTGGATGGCATGGTGAACTTCACCAACAGGAACCCAAATTGAATTTCTTTGGCATGCACCCTAGTGTTTGTTGAGCTAAACACTGTGTTAGTCTGGAGATGCAACTTGGTGGCAGTCACTGGCCTCATGCTGATCTACGCCCATTGTGAGGGAGACAGGCAGCTCAAACCAATAGTCGCGTAATCCTGCGAGAGAAGAAGAGGATGTAAAGGAGATAGACAGAGCACTGTAATGATAAATAACAGAGAAGGCTCTGCATTCTGAGGGAGTCAGGAAGGCCTGTGTGGCTAGCTCGCGAATAAAATAACTTGAGAAAAAAGTTTGCAGAAGTGAAAAGGGCCAGTAACCCTCTCGGGCCTTCTGGGGGAATCTGAAGTTTTTTTATTCAAATGCAAGCAAGATGCACTGAAGGTTTTAATGGCGAAAAAGAATTATTCAAATCTCATTTAAAACATCGTTTGGTAGCGGAATGGATTTCATGGGAATGGAACAGCAGGTGGACCTTTCTTGGGCAGTACTATAATAACACCGGCTAATTTGAATCCTCAATGAAAATAGCAGCAAGAAGTGGACAGAATCCAAATATGTTAAAATAACGCAATTAGAGACTTGGAGTTGAGGGAACAGGTAGCATACCGTCTCAAGATTCTAGGTTAGTAACTTCTATGGGTATGTGGGTGGTGTGCCTGAGATGGGCAGACAGGGAAGGTAAAGTTCTGGGCTAGATCAAGAGTTGTCTCACCGTGGACATACTACAGATTCCTGTATGATAGTGGGGATGTGCATGGTATTAAATGTGCCTGCAAGGCTGAGGCTCATCTAGCTGAACCAGAAGAGACGACATGGACAGTTAGCAGACAGGACGAAAGCAGAACAGAGCATAAAGGCAAGTGCTATGACTGAGCACTGAGGAATTCTTCCTCTGGAGAAAAGATGAAAAGCAGCCAGCAAAGAAGACTGAGAAAGATCCATGGTGGGAATAAAGCCGAAAAGACACTGGTGCCGTAAAGAATCTTAAAAGAAAGTGGCCAACATCATGACTGCTGAATATAATACACAGGATGCAGTAGCCACTGAAGTGAGGGGTGAAGCTGACTCCGCCACCATGATGTACTGGAAAGACCCACGATGAGCTACAAGCACAGAGCCTGAGTCAACTGGATTTCACCATAAATCTGCTTATTTTGTTCACCTAAATAAAAGTGCCTACATTTGTAAGCCTGAGATCACCACCTTGTCACTGATTTCCCGAGTTTCTACAGCTTTAAAAGCCGACTATATATCTATGTATATTCTTTTACCAATTAGTACAAAAGAAATATCATGAGATAACATTTGAAACCAGCAAGCTGTGTCACTTTATAAAATTGCTTGTTTCTGTTGTGCATGTTCGTCGAAAAAGCATGTGGATATTCTTCATATCATTTTCTACATGAATTTATCTAGAAGGTGGAGAAGTATTTCTTCTGTATGTTACGTATGCACTAAAATAGTCTTATAAATAAAAAATCTCTTTAAAATAGAAAGGTGTTGGAAACATGGGTGTTGCCCAGTCGGTTAGCGTCCGACTTGTGGACTCCGCGATCTCGCTGATGAGTTCGGGCAACGATCGAGCTCACACAGGCTGATGGCTTGAACCTGGAGCTATTTCGATTCTGTGTCTCCTCTGCCCTCCCCGTTCTCCTTCTCTCTCTGTCCCAAAATAATAAATGTTGAAAAAAAATTTAAAAAAAAAAATAAAGGTGTCTTGTGGAAAGTTTCCATAGAACTAAAAGCCTTTAAAAAATCGCATTATCACTTTTTAAAGTTTATTTATTTAAGAGAGATTGTGTGTTAGGGGGGGGGGTAGGGGAGTGAAGTGTGCATATAAAGCAGGGCAGAAAAGGAGAGTGAGAATCTAGGCAGATCTGTGCTTTGATGGGAGCCCACGTGGGCACCGATCTCCTGAGCACTGAGATGTAATGGCTCAAGAGTTGGACCCCTTAACTGAGCCCTAAGAGTCACCCACACCTTGGCCTCAATTTTAATATTGCTTTAGTTTTCAAAATTTGTTTCCTAGGGTTTCTTTGCTTTTCATGGATATGTCGTAGTTATAAATTAGTTTATTTAAATATCTTAGTATATTATTCACAGTAACAGGAAAATGAAATTCAGGAAAAACAACAAAAAATATTTGTTACTAAGTTATGAAAAAAGCATCAAGAGCTTAAAGAAATATTTGCCGCTATTTAGATACTGGTTGCTTCATCTGGCGAGTTAAACAGTACCTGTGTGCTAGGGTAACTTTGGGACTCCAAGGAGATAATACATGTGCTTTATAATGGGCCAGGCCAGTGGCAATAATGTTTATTATAATATCATTTTTCATCTTAACCTACAGATGAAAGCCCTATAATCTGATGTCAGATACCATGTTACGAACATACGCTTAAGCAAAAACTTACTGGTGGTACTTCTAAGAAAGACTTCCATGACCAAGAATGTTTCTTTTTTTTTATGATGTTGCAGATACCAGGAGAAGGACTCCAAAAGATACCAACACCTCCATGGAACATTAAATTTAGTAGTTCTCCCATTCCCCGAACACCCCCAATGCTGACATGAAAAGTTCAACCATGTATTATTAAAGTCATAGGAGCAACACCTGCAGGTCAGCAAGAGTGGCCAGTGTAGGCCAGCCTGGAGGCTTTGGGTGGGCCTTGGTTGAGGATCAAAACCCGCCACCAACTATGTGGCTGCTCTTGGTTCCAGCCCTAAACCTGACTTTCTCAGAAACTGGCACTATCTGAGCCTCTCATTGGTTGTTTTCTTGACAGCCACCTCCTCCTACTAGAAGTGAAGCTCTTTGAAGCAGGAGTCTCCATGTTCTGCTCACCTGCAGCCCCTAAGGGTCTGGCACGTCAGCACTGTCGATACTAATTAAGGTGACTAAGGAATAATTATAAACTCAATAAAAAAAAAAACACCTCAAAGTTTGTGAAGAAAAATAATTTTGTTTGAACATAAAAGTATGAGACAGTTCAATCATACATATCTATTTTTTTCTCCCAACAACTACCTTCCTCAAGTAGTTATTTAATATAAAGTACCTGTCTCCAAGGCAATAGTGATGAAAGCAGGAAAGAATAGTGTCTTCTGAGTTTTTAATGTAACAATATGATCATTTATTGTAAACTTAGTTTTTGTTTATGTAAATTAAAAATGCAGCTGTGTCCTCAGAATTTTATTTATTTCATGTAGTTCAAATTGCAATCTTCTAACCTAAATGTGAGACCCGAAACCAGTAAAATCTAGAAAACACAGGCAATATCTTCTTTGACATTGGCGGTAGCAACTTCTTTCTAGAGATGTCTCCTGAGGCAAGAGAAATAAGGGCAAAAATAAACTATAGGGATTCTATCAAAATAAAAAGCTTTTGCACAGCAAAGGAAGCAATCAGTAAAACTAAAAAGCATCCTATGGAATGGGAGAAGATATTTGCAAATGACATATCCAATAAAGGGTTAGTATCTAAAATATATGAAGAACTTATAAAATTCAACACCCCAAAAATGAATAATCCAATTAAAAAATGGGCAGAAGACATGACATTTTTCCCAAAGAAGACATACTGATGGCCAACAGACAGATGAAAAGAGGCACAACATCATTTATCATCAGGGAAATGCAAGTCAAAACCACCCTGAGATACCACCTCTCACCTGTCAGAATGGATAAAATCAACAGCACAAGAAACAATAGGTGTTGGTGGAGAAAGAGGAACCCTCTTGCACTGTTGGTAGGAATGCAAACTGGTGCAGCCTCTCTGAAGGACAATATGGAGGTTCCTCAAAAAATTAAAAATAGAATTACTGTATGATCCAGCAATCGCATTACTAGGTATTTACCCAAAGAATACAAAAATACTAATTCAGAGGGATACCTACACTCCGATGTTTGTAGCAACATTATCTACCATAGCCAAATTATGGAAACAGCCCAAGTGTCCATTGACTGATGAATGAATAAAGAAAAGGTGGTATATGTGTGTGTGTGTATATATATATATATATATACACACACACACACACACACACACACACACACACACAACACAATGGAATATTATCCAGCCATAAAAAATAATGAAATCTTGCCATTGAAGACGTGGATGGAGCTAGAGAGTACTAAGCTAAGAGAAATAAGTCAGAGAAAGACAAATACCATATGATTTCACTCATATGTAGAATTTAAGAAACAAAACAAAGGAGCAAAAGGGAGGGGGGAAGAAGGAGCAAGACAAACCAAGAGACAAACTCTTTAAAAAAATGTTTTTAACATTTATTCATTTTTGAGAGTGAGAGAGACAGAGCATGAGTGGGGGAGGGGCAGAGAGAGAGGGGGGACACAGAATCTGAAGCAGACTCCAGGCTTTGAGCTGTCAGCACAGGGCCCAACACAGGGCTTGAACTCATGGACTGCGAGATCATGACCTGAGCCAAAGTTGGACGCTCAACCAACTGAGCCACCCAGGTGCCCCAAGAAACAAACTCTTAACTGTAGAGAACAAGCTGATGATTACCAGAGGTAGATGGGGGTGGGGATGGGTTAAATAGGTGATGGGGATTAAGAAGGGCACTTGTGATGAGTACCTGATATATGGAAGTCATGAATTACACTATATTGTACACCTGAAATTAGTATTACACTGTATATTAACTAACTGGAATTTAAATAAAAACTTTAAAAAGTACACTCTAAAAATGAGATGAAAAAAATTGGAATCTTCTAGAACAGTGCTGTTCAATAAAAATATAATGTGATTCACAAATCTGAGCCATGGATATAATCTTTTACTGGTGGCCACATTTTACAAGTAAAAGAATGGCAAAATTAATTTTTATAATATCGTATTTAACCCATTATATCAAAAATATCACTGTATCATGTAACCAACATAAAAATAGTTACTAAACTATTGTACATTCTTTCACAGCACGTCTCTGAAATCCAATGTGTTTTGCACTTACACACATCTCATTTCAGACTGGTTCCATTGCAAGTGTTCAATAGCCACACGGGCTTGTGGCTCCTGTTTTGGACAGTACAGCTCTAAGCTATGAGCTCTTGGTATTCCTGGGGTCTCAGCACTAGAACATAGTAGACACCCATTCAGTGTTTGTTGAAAAAAAATAAGTTTTTTTCCTAAAAAAATTTTTTTTCCTACTTAAGCATTTTACGTAATAACATAATAATATGTAAATATGTTTTTCTTTATAGTACAATAAATTTAAATGCCGCATCCTGAATGAGAAGGTTAACACTCCAACTACGACAGTTTACAGGTAAAGTGTGTGTAGATAGTATTTATTTATTTATTTATTTATTTATTTATTTATTTATTTTGAATTTTTAAAAATGTTTATTTATTTTTGAGAGAGAGAGAGACAAAGTGCAAGCATAGGAGGGGCAGAAAGAGAGGGGGACACAGAATCTGAAGCAGGGTCCAGGCTCTGAGCTGTCAGCACAGAGACTGATGCGGGGCTCAAACTCAGGAACCATGAGATCATGACCTGAGGTTAACTGACTGAGTCACCCAGGCGCCCCAAAGTGTGTGTAAATTTTAAGTGGCGCTCAGTGGTAAACTTTAAGGCATTAGCAGTAGAAGCAGTTGGTCCTTGGGTGGGTGGTCTATTTGTCAATTTGCATAGTTGGTATACTATGTTAGCTAGAGACTCCAAAATGTTATCAGCAAAAGGAAATTATTATGTCTTCATTTGTGTTTATCAGTCTGCTGCTGAAACCCGAATTTCATTTTCCAGATGTTAGCTGTAACAGCATCTTTCCCCATGTGGGTGAGATTGTGTTTGCCCAGTGCTTTACATTTCAAGGGGAGCTGTTAGGAATGGAATTTTGTTTCATCCTCACATTCTTATTAATGTGGCAGTGGGAGCTGTTAGGGACCATCCCCTCATGCAGTGATTTCCTGCCTCCTACTATACATACTCCCCGTTTCCTGGAGTCCAAAGTGTTAGCTTTCATGCGTTAGCAGGATGTTCATGATAAAACACAAAGACAGTGTTAGGAACCGAAGGCAAATCAAGTGATAGGAAGAGGCAAGTGAAATCAATATCACCACAACTCAGTTCTGTTTGTTAACATCTGGAGCCCCTATTTTATTCGTGTGGTTTTAAAGCTGCCTTGTAGGTAATTGCTGTTCCCCATTTCTGTGTGTTCTGGATGTCTGGCTGATGCTATGACCTTCATGGTCCAATCTTAGGAGATCTGGTATCAGAAAAACCCTCCACAAAGCATTTACTTTCCACATAGTTACAGGTCTGTAGTTTCATTGTACTGTAAGGGAAGTCATCTCCCCTTTAAGCAAAGATGTGCTCAGTGCATTTCTTACATTATAATATGAACTCGTTGCCATTTGACATTGAAGTGGGATACCATGCTTGCCTCATCTTTGCTATTCTCCAGTGACCTGATAAGGTTTTATTGGTTATTACTTATAATTCAAATAAATGTTACTATATGCATTTTGAAGTTTAATACATGAAGAGATAGAAAAGACATGCGAAGTTTTAAAATTCAGGCTCCTAATACTTGAGCTCTTGTGGCTATTTTTTGAACCTTCCTTAGGTCAATATTGACACTTCTTACTCTGTCAATTTAATTTTTAGAAAATGAATTGTATTTTCTTCTACAGGGTTATTTTAAGATGAGCGTATTGAAGTCTTCCATGCTAATTAGGCATTCCTTCCACACCTGTGAGCTTTGATTTACCACTCCCATCTTGGACAGAGAACAATAAAGCCTGGCCATTCAAATAAATGACATTTTCATATTTAAAGCATATTTATCCACTTTGGTGAATAAACCAGCCTCTTTATGTATTCATCGTAATTTTTAACTCTTTAACCAGTGAACTTTAAAAGTATTTAAAATTGGTTGGAATAGTTAAGGAAGAACTTACTTTCTTTACTAAATTTTCCTTAAATTAGTTGATGTTAAGTACCTTCCCTCTGACCAGTGCCATTAGTATTTTAATTTTTTAAGTGTCTCTGTGCTTGAAAAAAAGTCTCTGCTTATTAAGGTTTGGGGGTCCTTCTTGGTTAGAGGTGCAAGTGAATCCCCAGCAACCGCACCACGTGGTTTTTTTATTTAATGTTATTTATTTTGAGAGGGGAGGGGCAGGCAGAGAGAGAGACAGAGACAGAGAGAGAGAGAGAATCCCAGCAGGCTCTGGACTGTTAGCACAGAACCTGACCCAGGACTCAGGTACTGTGAGATCATGACCTGAGCCAAAACCAAGAGTTGGATGTCAGAAGCTTCACCGACTGAGCCGCCCAGGCACCCCACACTGTGTGTTTTAATAATGGCGTCATCTCTGACCTAAACTTGTGCCTGAGAGTTGCACTGAAGTCAGTGTTCCGTTTTAGTAAACCAAAAGACAGTTAAGGCTTTTGTCATAACACCAGAGGACCTAAAAACAAATACACAAAAGACCCTTGAAATTTATTTATTTATTTATTTATTTATTTATTTATTTATTTATTATTTATTTATTTATTTATTTATTGAACAGACCTTATTTCTCAGGGCAGATTTCAGTCCACAGCAAAATTGAGAAGGTACAGAGATTTCACACATACCCTCTCCCCCACTCGCGCTCAGCCTCTGCCACTATCAATGCCCCCCGTGGAGTGGCTCGTTAGTGACAGTTGATGGACCTGCACTGACCATCATAATCACATAGAGTCCAGAGTTTACATTATGGTTCGCTCTTGTTGGTGTACATTCTATAGGTTTGGTGAAGTTTATTTTTAAAGTATCAAGTTTGCACATTTTGTATAAGTTGCAGATAATTTTGGCTTTGCAAATCAGTGTAGAACAGGGAAATGGCTTTTTGATTTTATGACAGTGGAAGGTTTTCAATAGCCTTGGGACATGACATTGAAAAGTGGTGGGTGACTGCGTGGTTTCTGTCAGAAGATTCTGTAACTTTTTGAATTTGAGCAAAGGAGGCAAGACTGGGATCTGAGGCCAGATAAATTGCCTCTTTCTTCATCCTAAATTAAGAATTAAATTATTTTAAATTGCCCCCCAAGTTAAAAATTGCCTCAAGATGTACGAATAAGTAAGATCCTTCACTTAAAACATATGAAAACATGATTTGTAATGAACGGTCCAAAAAGCTATAACTGTGTCTGGGCATGTCTGAAATATTTCATTATAGGTGTGGTCCACTAATTGACCTTTGCAAAGGGCCCCATGTAAGACACACTGGAAAAATTAAAGCCATAAAAATTTTCAAGGTAAGCATTTATTTTTTTTAATACAGCAAACTTAAGATAAACCAGATAATGAGGAATTTTCAATCATATCTTTTATAATCTGAGTATCACAGTATTTTAAAATACCTCATTATTTGATTTTTACAGAAGCTTCTTTTTTTAATGTTTATTTATTTATTTTTGAGAGAGAGGGAAAGAGAGAGAGAGAGAGAGAGAGAGAGAGAGAAAGAGAGAGAGAGAGTAAACACACAAATTGGGGAGGGGAAAGAGAGAGAGGGAAACACAGAATCCCAAGCAGGCTCCAGGCTCCGAGCTGTCAGCACAGAGCCCAACGAGGAGCTCAAACCTACAAACCATGAGATGACCTGAGCCGAAGTCAGATGCTAAATCAACTGAGTAACCCAGGCACCCCAATTTTTACAGAAGCTTCTAAAAATACTGTAGTTTTTGAAAATTAGGACCTTACATGTAGCTTTTAATTGTTTATTATTTAACATTACTATACATGGTACAGTGCCTTTCTTTCTCATATATTTTAAGATACTGTTCTGCACTTGATGACTTCCTTGAATCACCCTAGTGTGAGCAAGAACATTTGGCTGGGATCTTCATGTCTCTGTACTGTATGCTGTTCCTCTCCTCTGTGGTTCAATTACTATTGGCCCCGCCCACCTTCCCCTTCCTTCTCACTATTCATTCCTAGAATCCATGGCAGACTCTACATAATTTTCTGATGAATTTGGGCTGGGGAGGTTTAATTAGAATCAATTTAAGAGTCTTCCTGGTGCTACAAAAAGTCATCGTAAGCTATGTGGATGGCGTAGTGGAAAATTGTGCACAGATTTAAGAGCGGTTTTATTTATAACCAAATGTTTGGTATATTTACCCAACTTTTGTTTGATGCTTAGAATTCCTCAACATACTGGGAGGGCAACCCCGAAATGGAAACACTGCAGAGGATCTATGGGATATCCTTTCCTGATAACAAGATGATGAAAACCTGGGAAAAGTTCCAAGAGGAAGCCAGGAACCGTGATCACAGGAAAATCGGAAAGGTACGCCTGCGTCCTAATCACTAGCAGGATGAGGACATTCTTTGTTGGCCTATGATTTAATTGTTTGGAAAATGGGATCTCTTCTTCCCTTGTCCTATCTTCTGTTTTGCTGGCACTCAGAGTTTGCTATTGCAACCTCATGTTAATACTCCAAATGTCTCCTCATCGCTTCCTTCCTGTGTCTTTTATTAGATTTTAAAATTACAGCTTTCTGTCACTCATACCATGATGTAAAAATAATGTTGTAAAAAATTGTATGTACTTAACAACATACTTTGTTTTGGGGGAACAGAGCAGAGAGACAGAATGAGATTTAAGAGTGTGTGGACCTGGGTTTGAGTGTCAGTTTGGCCACTTACGGGCTATGTTATATGGCGGGCCATGTGCTCACTTATGGAACTGCATGTGCTCATCTCTTGCTCGGTGGCCTTGTAGGGCTGATGGGGAGGGCAGACGCTGTACGGTGGCAGCAGCATGGGGCAGGCATTCAGTAGTGACAGCCATGAGGATGGCCACCGCCATGTGGGGCCTTCCCCCTGGAGTGAACTTTTCTGATCTTTGGCCATGTTCTCTCCCCATGAGATCCACATTCCAAGATGCCACGTCAGAAATTAGCAGTGAATAAAAGGTGAATGAAGAGCTAAGTAACCATAAATATGAATTGTAATTTTACATGTGGTAGTAATTCTAGTTAGAGGTAAGTATTGAGGGGTTTTAGTTGTTAGAAGATGGAAGTCATAACTGAGTATAAGTCTCATTCCTTCAATGTCATGTGCATACAGTAAATATTGATCAATGGCAGTGAGATTTGAGATGCAGTTATTGTTTTAATCTAGGAACAAGAACTATTCTTCTTCCACGATCTGAGTCCTGGGAGCTGCTTTTTTCTTCCCAGAGGAGCCTTCATTTATAACACACTTATGGATTTCATACGAGTAAGTTAATTTTTAAAACTTTTTTTATTCAGCTCCATTGTACATTTTATTATTTTCCTACTTTTGTAATAAAATAGCCAAGTATTTTCATTAACTTTTAGTAATATTAATAAGAATTTTGAACTAAAGAGAAATACTGGGTTGTGCCTCAAAAAAATTGAAATAATTTCTATATTTCCTAAATAAAATACATTCTTGGATTTCAGTAAGTGCACCTGTTGTCCATAAAAGTTTCTAGAGCATGAACAATACAAAGATAAGAATTAGACTAAATGTGGAACTCCCTGGGAAAGGAGAAGAAAGGAGGAAGTGTCCTATCTGGCACAGAATGCTAAATGATGAACTGTTGATTCTCAAAATGTGGTCCATGGTCCCCCTCCACCGTCCCTGACCCAGGGGTCCATGGTGTCCCTCACTGGTGTGACTCCCAGGTAGCTTGGCACCTCCATCCAGAGCAATTATGTAAAATACCTTCTTGTAATAAAGTCTGTAGATGAGAAAGTCTTAAGTGTTTCTCTCATTTGAACTCCAGATACTGTTCAGAGGTGATCCATGTAACTACTAGGATTATGTTTCCTTTCTTGTGTTTTTTTCTTTCCTGTAACTAGTAATTACCTAAAATTTTCATTTACTCAGTTTTATATCACTAACTTACTTAGTTCCTATCACTAATTCATCCTCAAACTTTTTCTCAAAACTGCAAAACTCCTTACAGCATATTCTGAGTATTCAGGTAATCTCTCAGTAATTTTTGAAAATTTGGTCCCCTTGTTCCAGAACTAACTTGCTGCAAGGATTCTTGCCAACTGATGTCTCCGTACTTGTTTTCCTCATCATTCTGGCTACTTCCCTCATGTCTCTGCTATGTTGATTCTCTTCTTCCCTGATCCCATGCCTTCCTCTTCTTTCCTTATCCCTCTCCTTTGGGGAAGCACTTTCTTCAGCAACTTCCTGAGAAAAGGTTACTGGCATGAGCTGGTTATTCTCTGTCTGCCTCACCTGTCTCATCTCCATTCCTTCTTTTCTTGTTCTGTGTCCCTGGAGGCTAAGCTCTGTGGACTTTGTCACCTGAGCTACATACCTTCCAGTAGGGATCTGCCAGTGTGAAGCCATGGGCGGCCAGAGGGCCTGAAGAATCACTGAAGATTATCCGAGACTATAGCAGGTGGTGATGACCATCACAGCCACTGTTTTGGATAGGCTGTCTTCCAGAAAATCAATATAGCCCCTGGCACCCTGAACTCTCAAGGTTGGTCATTGAGTGTATGGAGAATAAACAGAAAGCCTCTGTGGTAGCCTGATAGGAATCTCTTATCTTTATAGATGTAAGACGCACATGGCTGATGATTAGGCCCAAGGCCTGATTGTATGGGCTGCAGAATTGTAAAGCCATTTAAATTCACAACCCCAGTGGTCTCTTATGCAAAGGTAAGGGCACTTTTGGGAAAGAGTGGGTCCTTGAATTTTAGAATAAGAATATTTGGCAGACACGGATGAGGCAGAGGACTTTGAACTCCCAGATACCTTTGTCTGAAGAAACTGGCCTTTCCATGCAAACAAAACAAAACAAAACAAAACAAAAAAAATTCAGAAACTTTGCCTGTTTTTTTCTCTTGGTTTTCAGTTATATGGTCTTGCCTTTTCCCATATTTGGTAATTTTTTATTATATGCCAAATACTGTATATAAAAATAACTTCAGAGGCTTTAGATGATGTCATCTCCTACTAGAACATTTACCCTCTGTCAAGATTGAAGCCTAATTAATCCATTCAAAGATGGAGCTGAGTTAGGGCTGGGCTTCCATTTTGATAAGACAGAGTCTGTCTCTTATTCATCCCTGTTTCTAGGGCATGGCCCTGTGGGGTTTCCAGTTGACAGTCTGTGGTCTCTTCAGCTCCAAAAAACTGGTGGAGGTCCAATTCTGCTCTTCAAATGTGTTCTACTGTTGGCTAAGCAAATGATTGCACATCTCATCCAATCACTGCATTGGCTCAAAATCTAATAATATGTCATCTGAATCAGGTCTAGGTATAGATGAGGGTCTTCGGGTGCAAAGTACAGATTACCAAATGCAGTTCTGCTCATCTTAAGATCTGTGAATTAAAGGGACAATTGTGTCTGGGTCAACCCCACCCCAACATTATAAAATGATGATAGAGAAATAGGAGGCAGTACATACTGCCATTCAAAAAGGGGCAGGGGAGAGTAGTTGTCACTGATCTGTGGATACCCTGGCAACCTACTTGTTCTTTCTCCCTGGTCAAAAAGTGCATTTTGGGTAGGACTTAGTTTTGTCTCTTCCTGGGTTATGGTTCTGCCCTTTGAACCATCCTTCCTTTACCATGAGAAATAGCCCACGCGGACCTCTGAGTAGCTTTCTCAGTGTTCTCAACCTGTTTCTTTCAGTAGGACTTTGGGCATCCCAAGGCCTCATTTCATTTTGTGCTGTCTCTGTCCATTTTAGTCTAAGCCAGGACAATTCCTTTAAAAACTTTGTGGGGTCTTTTATATACATTTGTAATCAACACTTCTATAAAAACCACAGCTGTGCCTCTTTATGAACCAAATTCTTCTCTACTTAAGCCTGCCTGTGAGGCTGCTGCAAGACTATACACTTAAGATTCTTAAAAGCCTTAAGGCTTAGCTGACAGAGTCTACAAAGCACCATCTTAAGACTCATTCAGATCACTGTAGATACTCATTCAGATCACTGTGAGGTCTTCATAAATGGTACACTTTTATACCCTCAAGAGCTTTACTGTAAGGCCATGCTTTATTGGCTGTACCCTGTATTTTATTTTTGTGCTAAAGCCATTCTTACCTTATGAGTCTTTTGCTGGATGAGTCTGAGGACGCAATAGTTTTATTTTTGAACCCAACAGGTCCTGGCATTTTGATATCTCCTCTCCAAAAATAGTACCCTGTTTAGTTTTTGTCTCTCCTGTATTTTATCGTAGGCAGCTCTAAGTAGTCAGTTGTTCCTTTGTACTTTCTGCCTAGACACATCCCTAGCTATAGTCCATGAATTCTTTGGGTACTCTTTCTGTTTTTCATTTACCTCAGGTGATGGTGTTACCAGTTTTCTGGCACCACAAGAGTCCCCTTTTCTTCATCCTCCAATATATTTTCCTCACTGTCCTTCAAGTTCCCACAGTCTCTAGCCACCCAGCTTCTGCCCACCACCTGGCCCCAAAGCCAAGGCTGCCTATTTTAGGTTGCTATTATAGCAGCACCCACGACCAGAACAAATTCTGTTCTGGCTGTCTGTCGCAGCATAACAAAATATCCCAAAGCTTAGTGGCTTAAAATGGCCATTTTTTTTCCCATTGTTATTTCTAATGGTTCCAAGTGTTAGACTTAATTAGCATGGTTCTTACGTTGAATTCCTTATATGGCCACATTCAGGTGGAAGCTGATGCCAGAGTTGCTGATTGGAGGTTCAGTTACATTTGTTAAAATGCATAAATCTGAAGCATACAGGTCAATAAATGTTCCCATGTGTGTACATCTACACAGTCACCACCCAGATCAAGACATAGAACAGCTCCATCCTATAAGGTCCTCTTGGGTCTTCCCAGTCAATACCACCTCCCCTCTTCTCACCTGGGATAATCTTGCTGATTTCTGTCCACCATAGATCAATTGTTCCTGGTCTTCAAAACTTCATGTAAATGGACTCCTACAGTATTAGCTATTTATTGTGTTTCTGGCTTCTTTTGTTCAACTTAATGTCTGAGAGTCATCCAGGTTTTGCATATAATTATTTTTCTATTGTTTGAGGTACTTCATTTTGTGAATATAGTACAGCGTATTTATTCGTTCTCCTGTAGGTATACATTTAAGTTGTTTCCACTTTGGAGCTATTTGACATGAAACTGCTGTGAACATTTTGTACATGTCTTTTGGTGGGCACAGTACTCACTTCTCTTGGGTATATACGTGGAAGTGGAATTGCTAGGTTGTAGAGTGTTATTGACTAATTTAACAAAATGCTGAAAAGTTTTCATGTGGTTGAACCATTTAATGTTCCTTCTAAAATATATGAGCTGTCACTTACTCTACATTCTCTTCAACACTTGGTATTCAGTTTGTCATTCTGGTTGGTACCGTGGTATTATTCTGCATTTCCCCGATGAATAATGATGTGACAACCTTCTCATATGCTTGTCGGTCATTTGGAATCCTCTTTTGTGAAGTATTTTGTCAATTAAAAAAATTGGATTGTTAGTCTCTTAATTATTTTTAGGAGTTCTTCTGTATTCTGATATGAATCATTTGCTAAATGTACATATTATGAGTATATTTTTTCAGGCTGCAGCTTACTGTTTCTCTTTCTTAATGATGTGTTGCAACCAACAGTTCTCGTGTTTAACAAAGTCCTGTTTTGCTTTTTTTTTTTCCTTTCTGGTTAGTGCTTTCATGCTGTGTTTAAGAAATCTTTGCCTATTTTGGAGTCATGAAAATATTCTTCTTTGTTCCATTCTAGAAGCTTGGTTGAATTTGTTTTCAGACTTAAGGACATGATCTACCTTGAATTCATTTTTAGGTTCTGTGCAGTAGAGGGATCAAGGTTCATTTTTTCCACAGGGTTAGCCAGGAACTTCAATACCATTTATTAATACAGTAGAGTCTTTGTCCTAAACTGTATAATCATATGCATATAATAGTCATTATGTATTTCTGGATATTTATTCTATTCTTTTGTCCCTTTGTTGTCTGTCCCCGCACTAACACCACACTGCTTTGATTACTGTACTTATTTTAACTATATTTTAAGTCTTAATATCAGTTTAATTTTAAGTTTTTCAGGATTATTTTGGCTATTCTAGATTCTTTGTGTTTCCATATAAATTTTATATGATGCTTATCAAGTTTCTAAAAAATAACTTCTGGAATTTTTATTGGAATGTCCTTCACTCTATAGATTAATTTGTAGATAATTTACATCTTAACCACATTGAGTTATGAACATGGAAATTTTGTCAGTTCATTTAGTTCT